TTAAGTTGTTTAAAATTTATTAACACTTCTCTTTATTGGAAACTTGAAAATATTGTATAATCTTTATTAATATTTGTATTTTCAATTATTCAAATATCTTAATATATCATTTTGAACAATACATTGAACTAGGTTGAGCCCAGGTCAAATAAAATTCCCGGGTTCGGTTAGGGGTTTTGAAAGTCTTATAAACGGGGTTTAGGTTTGGTTCGGTTTCAGATTTTTCCAAAAACCTGGGTTTTCTTGTCCGGGTTCTGATTCGGTTCGAATCTTTGGTATCACATAGTGAATAACTGTGTATAAATAATGAGGAGTCGAGTTTATCATGCTTTAAACAAGTCCTCCTATTTTGAAAGGCTCTATCAGCTGCTCAAAACGCTCTTAAACCGCTAGCCAAGAAGGGATAGTCAGAAATTTAAGAACCAAAACACTTAAATTGGGAAAGTCGATTTGATAAGTCTTTCTCCAAATTAAGACTGGATAAACGATTTTAAATATTATAAATTTGAAGCATTTAATTAAATAGATACCAGATAAATATATTTTAATTAGTTTGATAGAATATGATGTAAATAAAGTAATAAAAATATAATAACAAAATAGTTTGGTAAACGGATGTTATGTAAAATAATAATTGAATATGACATGCTATTCTGATTGACATTTTATAATTTTGTTAGATAAAAAATGACATGTTATTCTAATAGTCATTATGAATTTAAAATTATTATTTAGGATATTTATATTATTTATAGGGTCGGGTCAGACACCTCTTATAACCCGCTGAACCCGAGCCCGAAAATAAAAGTCTTTGGGTCGGGCTGCGGATAGCCCGTGCACACCTCTTTAGGCATATAATGACTGGCCGTATATGTTAAATGACTATATAGAATATCTGATTTAATTCAGATTATACTATAGGTTATTTTTAGTATTTATAAATAGTATTATAAGTTTTGCCAGAGGCTCAATTCTAATATAGGTTCATCTCAAGCTCGAGTTCAAATAAAAATAACGGTTTAGGGATAAGGTTTGGTTTAGAAAAGTCTGTGAATTAATTTATATTTCTATAGTCATAAATTGTTTAAATAAAATAGTATGGCCAGATAACACTAGGGTCAGTGAAACAAAACCACGTTGGAATTAACGGGCTAGCAACTTTCAATGGAGAATTGATTTTCATTTTATTCTATAGATTACTAACCAGGGACTTCTACTAAGGTGGGAGGGGGGAAGGTATGATGCAAGGTTGGCATTAAAATTGGTGGGTGAGGAATTATGAAGATGGTAACGTCATTTAAATACAGTTGGGTAGTTTGATTAAGATTTCTTCCTTGCTATTTTTGATTTTCTAATTGAGAAGGGTAAGGGTGAGGGGTTAAGAGAATTCAACTATTTAATGCCTGGAGTGGGGTCTTATTTTCTGGGTTACATAATATAATTAAATTAGTTTGAAGAAAAGTGATCCATAAACTTTTCTGCACGAGTAAAAACAAATCCAATTGTCCTCATTCTCCCCTAGTGTTCTGATCTAAATAATGAGAGCTGTGAACCATAGATGTCACGGGCACTTATGCAAGTTAGAGATAAATATTTTTGGTTTTGCCGATGGGGGGGGGGGGGTGGGGGGGGGGATTTAAGATATATTTTTGCTGCAAACTCGTTTAAAAAGGTTTAGGTTTAAATTCGACTTTGGGTTTGGTTCTTTGTTTACTTACTGTATTGTATTGATCATAAAAAATTTATCAAATATTAAAATAATACAATTTTAAAAAATTATACTTTGATTAAACTTTACAAAATCCTGGTAGTTAAAAATTAAAGTGGAAATTTTTGCACAATAGAAGAGGAAATCTCATCACAGCTTAATACAAAATTCTGGTAGTTAAAAATTAAAGTGGAAATTTTTGCACAATAGAAGAGGAATTCTCATCACAGCTTAATCGAAGTCATGTAGCTATACCTCTCCAGTAGCGAGTAAGAAGAGATCTAAATTAAAACTAAAAGTTGTTTTCTAGCCTTTCATAATCTAGATGAGATGCGGTTGAGAAAGGAATTTTATTTTCTTTGGAATAGAAGTGACTGTTAGCATTCTGTTTATTTGATGGAACTAGAGTATGTGCTCTTAGGAGGCTTCTGCTTTATATATCAAAGAGTGAGGTATGAGATCAATAAATATAATATGTAGTCACAGAATGTCACAAAATTTAGCGATTAAAATCTAGAATGCGGATATAACAGGCACAATTTGAATTAAAAATGTTTTAAAAATATTTGAACGCACATAATAAATTAATGTCAATCAGAAACCCGCAGGCCCGACCCCGGTTAAAACCAGATATTTTAAATCGCCATTATTAGCTATAAAAATTAAAAATATAATATAATATATTTTTAAAATATCCGACGAACAGCGATGGAAAATTAAAACAACAAAATCTGGGTCAGGCCGTGCAAATGGTACCTCTGTAAACCTCTGATATCTATTGATTATAATTTATTAAAAATTTATATGTATCATTTGAGGTGCCATATAGTAAACGTATTACAATTACAAACTAACGATTACAATTAGTAAGTAACGGCGTTACTATTAAAAGGCATGTAATGACTTAAGATAATTTTTACTTTTTTTATGATATTATAATTTTTTTTAAATTATATTTTAAAAAACAAACCCCAAACCAAATTTTTAAAGTAAATTATATGCATATCAATTATGAGTCTAATCTTTATCCTGTTAAACAAAGTTATAAATTTCAAGAGAACATAAAGATGTGGAAATTAATTATGTTAATGTTTTTGTATATTTTTAGTTGCGCATAATACATATTTTTTACATTTATGATTTAGATATTATTGTGAAAATTTTCTTATATCCTTCGGGTTTCTAAAAATATTTCTGCAAAGAATCTAATTTCTTTATTTGCCGTTGATACTAGTGTATCTAGTGCAGCAAAAATACTTTATTCTTTATATTTAATTAAATTATAATTGTTTAAATCCCCTTCTAGAATTAGCTGTCTCTAATTTTATAAAAAATTTTACTGGCATTAATCACTTTAAGGGCTTTATTATGATTTATAGTTTATATAGCGCAAGCAAATCTATCGAAAATCAAAAAAATATATTTTGATCTGTTGCTCAGGATTAATGACTTGATGTACTATTGATATCGATCAGTCTTCGAACTTTATATAAAATAATTAACGTCTTTATATTCATTTAAAAAATTTAACTCTATCTAGCGAAAGATAAAAATTATGAGTTTATTAGATTATAAAATTGTAAAATATTATCAGATCTAGCTAGCTCTGATGTATAAAATTCTATTTAAATTATTCAATCTACTAGGGTTATATTAATAGCTTGATGTGCTCAGGGTTGAAAAATCAATAAAGAAAATTATTTATGCTTAGTAGTCGTATATGCCAAATGGTTCTAAATCTCGTTTATAATATATAAATTAATGTTTGATTAATATTTAAAGTAAACATATCAGAATAGATCAACGCGCTAGGACAAAAGATAAATTTGTATTAAGAATGTTGAAGGAAAACAGGAGTCAACAGTATGTAAAAATATAATAGGATATTTAGAAAATTGAACTTTTAAATGTTCTATACTGAACGTAAGTAATCACATCTACTTGCCTATCATATCTGATATGAAATATCTAGATAAAGATGCTTCCCACCAAACCCTTACAAGTATAATATCCTTTGGGATTTTTACATTTAATCGGCTATAACATTCTTCATAAGATATTAGATATAAATTATATGATTAAATATTTAGAATAAATTGAAACAAATTGTGTTTTTTTAAAATATAGGGCACTTCTATCAAAAGTGGAGATATGAAGCGATCTTAATTAAAAGAAGGGGGATAGAAAAATGGCGGGAGTATGGTTTTGCTAATTAGAATTTCCTTTGTTAATTTTAACTTTCTTTTTTTTGTTGCTAATTATTTTTATTTCCTATTTTTCGTTAGTCTTTATTTTGTAGGGGTTAGGAGAAGATAGGGGGTAAAAGGTGGGTAGGGGTAATGGCCTCATAAATATAGAGGGTATAGAAGTGTCTGTTGGAGTTTAATTATCTTAATAACTCCATCAATTGCCTCAAACTTTTTTTTGTGTTCTGAGTACATATAAGCAACTTCTTCAAACAAATCTGTTTCTTTGTAAACCAATTAGATTTTGAAATATTGAGGTCTTTTTATTATAAACGATTAAATGTGAATTTTACTTTTAAAGGGATAACAGATAATCTCAACTTTCTTTTGCGGAAGTCATTTCTACAAAATATTTTCAATATTTAATAATTATTTTGAAAAAAGAATAGACACGCTAAAATGTTGTACGAATTAAATATTTTAAAAAATTAATGTGAATGATGATTTTATAATATAGTAATTATAATATTTATAGAAAAATAGCAAGGGCATCACTAACTATCCTTTAATATCTCATTTAGCTCTAATTTTTTTAATTGCAAATGACTCTTTTTTTAGAATTTAAATTAAAATAATATCATTTTGCCTAAAGGCAATTGATTATTTCTAAGTGGGTGTCCAGATTCTTGACTATCAATAGCCATATGTGTTTGGAGTGATATCAGGCAGGTCATAACAATTATTTTTGATTAAAATGTATACTTTAATTTACTAAGCAACAGTGTTATATACCTTTATATTAGCAAAAAAATTGGCCAGAAAATTTGAGATGACTGTGCAACTGACTACCGATCTTTTTATTAAAAATCAGAAGGTAGTACTAGCTAAACTTATAACAAAGCTTTTCTATTTTATATATATTCTTAATATTATATAAAATAACATACTATGTCCTCATGAAACCTATATCTATTTAAAATGCCATTAATAATAATTATTTTATTTTAAAATAAAATAAAATAAAATCTAAATAATCTTATTTTTGAAAGCGATCATATGTTATTAAAACTAAATATACGATCATTCATTTATAATATGAGAGGTATATGAGCAGCAAATTTTTGACATTAGTTCAACGATTAACTAAACGTTATATTCATTCTTCGCAATCATTATTATCCGGTGAATATGAATATCAAGATCCTAAATCTCCTAACGATATTGTAAATGTTACCTTTATAGACAAGGAAGGGAAATCTTATCAAGTTAAAGGAAAAATTGGTGATAATTTGATGTATTTAGCACATCGTTATAAAATTGAAATAGAAGGAGCATGTGAAGCATCACTTGCTTGCTCAACATGTCATGTTTATGTTAAACAAAATTTTTATGATAAATTACCACCTCCAAAAGATGAAGAGGAAGATATGCTTGATTTAGCTGCATTTTTAAAATCAAACTCTAGATTAAGTTGTCAAATTATATTAGATAAAAGTCTAGATGGACTTGTTGTTACATTGCCTGCTGCTACAAGAAATTTTTATGTGGATGGACACACACCTCAACCTCATTAGTCTATTTATTTTTATTGTTAACAATTTGCTGTAAAATATTTTTTAATGCTCTTATAAATAATTGTGCATATTGTATTATTTTATTTCAAAAAAAAAATAGATCTTGTAATAAAATCTACATGTATTTAAAATTTAATGCATTAACATTAAAAATAATTTTATAATAATATGCAATTTAATAATTTGCAGGGGTCAAAGGGTTACTCAAGAGGTAGATGGAGTGTTTTTTTTCCCTTTAGTTTTAATTGCATATATCTCTTGCAGATTTCAAGCTAAAATATTGCACACACATTTTCGCAACATCTAAAGAACTTATCTAAAATATAATTTCAATTGTGATAACAAAAATATTATGATTTCTTTGAAAGTAAGGATTTTTTACTAAAGATTTATTTTAATATCCAACCATAATAAAACTTGAAATATTTATAGTATAAAAATTTTAAAAGATGGAAAGTACCCCCTTCCCCAGATTTATATGGCTAATATTTGACTCTCAGGACTCTGGTCAAATTAATTGACCAAATCCAATGTATTTCATTATAGCTGGAGAAAATCACATCAAGGAACAGTTTTATTTAAAATCCATATCCATGACATTCTATTATACCATTTATAGAAAATTCTCTTCGAAGGTACTTTTCTAAATTAATTTGTAAGAAATTTATGAGGTTAAAAAAATAAATATTACAAATTATTATATTTTAATATATTCAACATATTTTTTTTGATTATTTATAAAATTAATTAAATACAAATACAAACAATATTAAATTAAAAATAAATTTATAAAAAAAAACAAATAAGAATATTATATATAAAAAATATATATATAGTTTATAAAGAAAAACATTAAAAAGAACTAAAAAAGTATATTAAAAATGCACATATTACCCTAGAGAAGAGTAGAGGTAAAATCCTTCATTTGGGTCTCATTTTTCCGTATGGTTTTAATCAAATTGGGAACCTCACTTCCAAACATGCCTAAGGTATTGGTAACGCTTAGTATGAACATAGTGATGGTGAGGCCAGCATATTAGATTTTTTAAAATGATTTCTGCCTTTTTGATGGCAGAAAATGTTGGATTTTGCTGTAAAATCGACATATAGTCCCAAGCCAGCGGAAGTCCGTTAGTCCAGAGGATGAGAGGTATACCATCAGAGTGAATGGCGTTTTCATTTGGAAGGCCCACTTGTTTGAGGGTGGATGGAATATTAATTTCTGAGGGCAGCTAGGAGGAAGTTTTTGATGGATTTATGGGATTGTCGTCCGAGGGAGAACTTGCAGTGCAAGGGCTTTTGATTCGATGGGTTGGCCACAATTGATACGATACAAATGGGGGGGGGGGGGGGGTACTACAGCTTTACAGGCGAACGGCTATAGATTTATGTAGCTGTTCACCAGTCATAAGGAGGCCAAGATTGGAACTTGGGATGGCTTCCAACCATTCATATCTGAGTTTGCAGTATTATGTTATTGGATTTTCCTCAAAAGGCCTGTTCGAAATGATGTATTCAAAGGAACAGGTGATTAAATGAGAATCCCAGTTTTTTTTGAATGCTGGAGGCAGGACGACAGATGGTGGACAAGCTGTTGCTGTCCCAAAAGGTAAAGGCATGGGATAAATCAGGATCTATCGGAGTAGATACATTATTGATGATAATTTGAACAGCTAGGCGAGATGTGATGGCTGAAGGGAAAATTGTAGCAGGGATCAGATAACCATACCATCTCACTTTCAGGGAAGGAAGGCCTGAAGCTAGGATGAATCGGAAAATTTTATGTTCAATATATTTTCGAGGAGTCCCTTAATTTGGATTTCATGAGAAACTAGCAAATCACTTCATTTGAAGATCGGTGAGGATCTCAGAGCATAGAGGATTTTGGGTATATTAAAGTAGTTTAAGATTGATGAATGAGCAGGTAGGTAATTAAAAAATATGTTTAATTTAGATAAATTGTTAAGGGATTTGTTTAAATTGATTGCCTTTCACCCCCATCGGTGATCCGAGATGTGTTATCACATCTATAACATGGTATGCAATGTCTAAAGGAATGGATGTAAGATTTCGGAAGCAAATCTCACATTTGAGGAGATTAAGTGATAGTCTTGTAATATGTGAAAGATCCTCTATGATGGGTGGAAGGTAAGGGTGGAAGATTGAATTTCTTAGATTATTTTGTGGATACCATTGCAAAAGAGGGTAGGGCCTAAGTTGACTCCCTGTTAACTATTATTGTATTTTAGGAATGTAGAGCTTGAATAGCTGTGGAGAATATATGATGAATATTCAGGATATTTGTTGTAAAACAAAGGAAAGAAGTGTATATTTTTGTATTGAAGGCATTATTAAAATCAAGTTTTAAAACAACGTCATCAGGAATGCTATTTGAGATAGTTATACGGGCAAGATCCGATATGCGTCTCCGGGCAGTGTCTACATGGCAGAAAATTTGATGTAGGCAAACCCCCTACATAATCTACCCCTACCTTCCTAAATAAATTCTGCAGTCTTCGGCAGCGATATTCGCCAAACCACTATGCTATAGTGATATTAATAAAAAGAATCTTATGATAAGCTACCATTTATCATCTACAACAAATATTTATCTTTCAGGTCTATTTAGGAGAAAAAAATTTAATTCTCTAATTCTTGCTAATAATAAACCGGCAATTGAAAAGCTGTTTTGGCCACTCCATTGGGATTAATCATTGAATGAGAAGAAAATATAATCTTGGAATCTTCAATAACTTTGAATGTTTGCTAATTATTAAATAAAGAATATAGTTAAAATTTGTTTACCTATCAAAAATCTTATTTTTAATAATAATATTTAAAGTATTTTGTTAAAATATTAAATTATTTATTATATACTTACTGAAGTTTATTATTAAGATTAATCATATATCTTAACCTCTATACTTTTAGAAATTAACAATTAAAAATAATATTAATAGTTTACATATGAAATTGTAAAATAAAATTAATAAAAATTAAAAAGGCTTCAAATTCAAAAAGAAAAAATTTATAATTTTTTATTATTTGTTAATAGACATATCTCTTTTTAATGGACATTTGTCAGAATAAAATCAACGATAAACATCATAATCATATCAATTATTGAATTTAAAAAGAATATAATTCAAGTCAAAAACTACCCCTTAAAAATCAATACTTACCTTGTCAAAAAATATCTACTCCCCAAAAATCCCTTCTACCCACTCCAGCTATGTAGACATTGCCTCCGAGAACGCCAAACCCTAATTGCAGTGGCGACAGGAATGAGGAAAGAATTTCCTTGATTCGTGAAGCAGTTATTTTAAACGCAGTTCTACGAAAGAAAGACCCTACTGCGATTGGGCGTATACCTTAATCCTTTTTTAAAAATCTATTAGACCGACACCAAAAAGGATAGGAATTACGGGTGCTGGAAGAGGCTCATAGAGAATTATATTTAATAGTCTGGTAAGATTCTGTAAAAAAGCTTTACATGAAACATTGGGTTTCAAAATATCTTGTAAGAAGATAGCTCGATTGCCATCAAGGCATCCAGAAGGTCCATTTTTTAAAAGATCTAAGAGCTCTAATTGTCTCGTTGTTGGGAGATAAGGAATTCAGAAGTTATAGCACGAAGAGCTGAGTTTATGTTAAGCAGAGGCCTTCATGGGCCGGACTTGGGTTTTAAAAAAAACTTTTTAATGTGCTTGGACCTAAAATTATTAAATTTAGATTATTTAAAACAGTTGCTAATTTAATGAAATATTGACTTTTTTTCTTCTAATATTAAATTTCAGTATTGTAAACAAAATGATTGCCTAAATATATTTAATATTGTTAATTTTCATTAAATAAAAAAATTTAAATTTTTGTATATGGGCTGGGATTTTTGTGAAACTTATTATGGGTTTGGACGGGGCTTAAAAATTTTTTTTAACATTAAATATGGGCTTGGGCCAAAAAAAAATTTACTGCTGGCTTGGGCGGGGCTTGGTCAAAAAGGCCCATGAAGGTCTCTGATGTTAAGGCTATTTATTTTATTTAAAATAATTTTGGTCCTACGGACAATAGAGGGAGTGAAGTAGATTGGTAAGTGTGGTGTGTGGAGGCTGGTAAAATATCTGGATTGATAAGGGATATTGAAGTTTTTATATATTTGGATAAAAGATATTTTTATTGTTAGGTATTTTAACGGTGAAATTGGTAAAGCTTAGTATATTTTTCCAATTTGAAAGGTTTTTCAGATTGTTTACAAATATATTATTTGTTGAAGGATTCCGCACGTGCTCCCTTAGGTATACGGGATATGGTGGGATAGTTGGGTAGTGATAAAAATTTATTGGGAAATGATTGTAGGTTATGTTTTTGATGAGTTGCAGGTGTCAGTAATAGCAGTTGAGGAAAGAAGGCTTACTAGATTTAATAGACTGAATGGAGGAAGACAGACGCGTACGCAGGAATTTGGTCTGGGGAGAAGGGGGGGGATAATAAAATTTTTTAAGAAATATTATTGTTTTTTAAAAATATCAAGCATAAATTTATTAGAACTGATAACTATTTCTAATACACAATTTTAAATTAATGTGAATTATAAAAAAATTATATGTATAAACCGTCATATAAAAAACTATAAAATAAATGTGAATTAAAAAATATTAAACGGATATAACTGGCGGTATAGAAAAACTATAAAATAAATGTGAATTATAAAATATAAAGTGAATATAACCACTATATGAATCACTTAAATGACCAAAAATAGAAATTTGAATTTTATGAGCCTTTAAAATTTATATATATAAAAAATTTAAATAAGGAATAATTGTATTTTGTATGTTATATATTTACATGTAAAATCCAATCTTCGTTGGGATTGAGCGAATTGTACTTCTTGGTATGTTTTGGGCCGGACCGTATTATAATTTTTTAAATAAACCCGGGCCGGGCCGTAAAAATTTTTTAAAAAAATTCTTGCCTGAAGCTAATACATTTAATAAATG